AAGGGACTAGTCTCAATACATGAGGGTTTTTGTCAAGCCAGTGCAAGACAGAGCAAAAGAAAACTAACAAGCCGGGCCAAGTATGCTTGGCTAAATAGACACTTAGGAATTCCTTTTTTATACTCGTCCGGCCAAGTGCAAATGCAAAGTCCAGTTTACTAACATTTGAACAAGAGGGATTAATAAAAGGTTCAACAATACCAACCTCCTGCCATTGTGGCAATAAGGTAAGAGTGTCTGTAAGGACTGGCTGACAAGTAATTTTCGATACCCGAAGTCACATTCGCAACAGCTAGTGCCATAGTTAATATTGAGGTCGTCCAAGGATAAGTTGAAACTCAATTGTTTAGAAGTGCATATCTTCGGCGGTCCCAAAGATGGCACCCATGGGGACTTAGCCTCAAGATGGCTCGAGTGGGTCCAAGTACAAGGACCTGACTTAGTGAACTGTCGAGAGATGGCCTTGGGAGTCACCCAGGGCTGAAATGACCGGACTTAGTGGTTGGTTGTTACATGTGGTATCAGAGAGACAATTACGGGCAAGATGCAAATTCTGTGGGGAAAATTTATTTTTTAAAAATGGAGGTCATGTCATTAAAAGACTTGTGTCAGGTTACGCTTGTGAGGTAAGGTGCCCCACAAGTGGCTGGCTGGTTTAGGGGTCTTCCCTTGCTTGCATTGTTACATGTTTGGGAATGAACCTATGAAAAACCGGCACCTTATGCATGTCCCGAGCCAAAATGAAGTTTCTTGATTTTTCTTGAAATTTCTGAACACTTCTAACTATCCTTGCTCCTTTCAGAAATATTGAGTAACTAGGAGTAGCAAGCAAGGAGGAAGTAAAAGTTAACCGCAACAGGCCTTAGAGGCTAGAGGACACTAGCCTTTCAGGTAAGATATTTTCTCTCTCTCACTCGGAACTAATTATGTGAAAAAAAGGAAATAGTTAAGAATCTAGGTTTTGCATGCAATTAAGTCGATCTTAACATCGACAAAGGTTATATTCTTCGAGGTCCTACCGAGACTTGAACTCGGGCTACTGGATTCAGAGTCCAGTGTCCTGACCACTAGACCATAGAACCATTTTGCCTTTTTTATTTAGTGATAAACAGAATGTTTAAAGTAATAATGATGTTCTGCAAAAACCCTGGCTTTTAGGGTTCCAGCAGTGGGATTTATGAATCCCGATGACGAGTTTGATGCCGTGGTTCTCGCATTTCTGGGAGGGAAGGTGCCAGTCTCCTCAAGCTCCGATCTCGACCGCGTGTCATTTATGGGGATTGAAGATTACAAGCACCAGCACAAGAAATGGATCTTCGGAGAATGCAACTCACGGGTATCGGATCTCCTGCTCAAAAAAGGTACTGGGGCTTTCAGGGAAGAGAAACGAAAACTTGCTCATGCGCCATTTACAGGGTGTGAGAAACAAGTGAATGCTCTCGACTGTGAGGTGACCGTGCATCCAACTCGCGGCCTCTTTTGCCACATCGAGGTGCTGGGTTCCCAGTCGCGGTTTGAGCCGTCGCAAATCGTTGCTGTGCAAGATCGCGCTGGTGAGCTCAAGGCGATCGGCATTGTCACTGGGGTCATCAACGATCGGACCATCTTGAGAGCACACCATGGCACAAAACCCGTCAAAGGAAAGGTAACTTTCGGTTCTTTGGAACTACAACTTCTTTTTCTCTTTGCATTTCCAGTATGATGTCTTCCTTTTGGATACCACGGCCACACTCCGTCGGTGCTTCCTCTCGGTGTCTAAAGCGGAGAATATCTCGCCAAGACTAAGAGATCAACTTGTTCGCCCTCTGAATACCATCAGGCCGGAAGCGGTACACTTCGGTGCTTGGCTCGCTGGTTTAAGGTTGAACCACGAACAAGGCCGCGTTGTGGCGGCCTCGGTGCATCTCCGGGAAGGATTTCTTCTTGCTCAAGGTTTGTTTTACAGCTAGAGAAGTCCAGGCTATTAATCTTTGTGCTTTCCAAAGGACGGCTGAACTTACGGGTAAGGGGCTCGTTTCTTCTCTTTTTGTTTTTGCGCTGGAGTAACACTTGACTCTTCTTCGTTCTGCCTTGTACAGAGAGAGACAATTGTTGGTAAGTCGACTACGTTTGCATTGATCTGTTGCTTACTTATATTTTTCCAGGAATTGTGTCTGCGGCATTGTGTGCGACCCGATAGTAAGTTTTTCTTTTGTGTGATCTTATATGCGAGGGTCTCTCTGTGTTTCTAGTGCCAAGATACTTGTGTGCGCACCATACAACAATGCTGTGGACCAGATAGCGTTGAGTCTCTCAAGCAGACTCTTGGACAGTGATGGCCAGGCCTACGTTCCTCGCCGGGGAGCAATCGTTCGTGTTGGTCCGATGGAAAAGATCGACAGGCATTGCCATGGCTTGACCCTCGAGGGCATCATTATCAGTGAACAGCGGGCCTACAGTTCGTATTATATTGCCGAGGAAAACGTGCTGAGCAACGCATCCGTTGTTTGCACCACCCTCTCCTGCAGTGATAGTTTCCATCTGGAGAAATGGAACTGCAAATTCGATCTGGTGCTCATCGGTATGCTTTGCTCTCATGCTTTCGTCCTTTGGTTTTTGTTTTCGTTGTAACCCATTTTTTTATGTTTGCAGATGATGCAGCCGGGGTAGGATGCTTCACACCATGCTTTCTAAATAATGCTTGGTACTTGTAGATTGCAGAGGCGGAGATACTGATCGCGTTGGCAAAAGCTCGGGACCGCTGCATTTTGTTGTCTGATTCAATCCGAAAATGTACGTAGAAGCTATCGTTTCTTGGCACAAATTGTCTCTTCATGCTGATTCATATCCAGGTAGTGCATATAGAAGAAGTCTGTTCCATCGCTTAGAGCAAGCTGGCCTGGTTCCTTACTTGCTGGAAAGGCCACCAAACGTGACCTCTGAGGGTAAGCGAAGTGTAAATAGTATCCTGATGTAAATGTGTAAAACTTGCTCGCAGGTCCTAGTAGCGAAGTAGCGAGGCACCGACAGGAGGATTCTAAGTACAACAGGAACTACGAGAAGCACCGACATGAGGAGGCTCGTGCAAGCCAGATATATGATCAAGAAGCGAGGAGGAATCGACATGACGGGGAGAAAGAATGTCACCGTGGTGGTGATCGGAGAGACGGACATGATGCGGAGAAAGAGCGTCACCATGGCGATCGACAACCGGGTGTCCGTTCGGTGGATGGCGTGAAGGAGCTCCAAAAAGCGAAAGTTAGTCGAGCCGAAGTGAAGATTGAGAATGCTGCAAACGCAGCCAGCGAGAAACGGGTTGCTACTCAAGCTGCTGCAACTCGCGTGAAGATGGAGCCGGATAGTGGTGGTGAAGGGCTCGAAAATGGTCCATCTTTTCCTGCAGCCAGTGCTGCTTGTCAGAAGGACAAGGAATTAAGAGAAATGGGTAGCCAGCGCTGCGAGACAAACAATGAGTCGACGGTGATGCGGCAGCCTAAAAGCGAGCGCTGCGGGAGAACAGCCTCAGAAGCTCCGTGTAAGGAGTCCACAGGAAAGGTGGCGGAGAATAAGCTGCAGAAGAGAAGAGGCGAGCACGAAGCCACAGAAATGAACCAGCAGCGAGGAAACGAGAACTGCGAGAAAGTACTCACCGGGGCTTCGTGTCAGACAAACAAGGAGTCCACGGCGGTGCCGCAGAGACAAAACGAGCTATGCGAGAAGGCACCTATGGAGGGTGTCTGCCAGATAAAGAAAGAAAAGGTGGCGGGCGATAACCAGGCAAACAATGAATCCATGGGCGATAAGCAGCAGAGAAGTAGAGAGCACTGCGAGCAAGCACATACGGAAGCTCTCTTCCAGAAAGTGTCAGATGAACAGCAGCAATTGGAGGCAGGATCTACCGGAGCTGTCTGCCGGATAAACAACGAGAAAGCACCCCTCAATCTCGTCGAGCTAAAACAGGAGCAGGCCCAAGATAACCAAACTCTCGCGGCTGAGAAGCTTCAGGCCGAGAAATATTTACGCAAGAAGTCCGAAAGCCAGGAGACAGAACAAGAGCTAGTCCAGGATGGAGGGGCTCAGGCGCAGCAGGAGCAGCAAGAAGAGCGGGAGTGGCCAGTGAAAGTAAAGCTTGCAGGCAAGAAGAAACAAATCCAGGGTCAAGCGGAGCAAAAGAGTTTGGAGTACGATGGAGGAACTCAGACGGACCAGCAGCAGAAAGAACAGTGCTCGGAGAAGGAAACTTTGTCGGAAAAAGAGATAAATCCGTTTCAACCGAGTCTTGAGGTCGTCAAGAACCGGAAGGAGACGCGGAAGGAAGTCGAACAGGAAGAGCAGCAGCAAATTGAGGACCAAAAGGAAAACCAGCTTCAAGCTGAGCCCGTCAAGAAACGGAAGAAGAAGCGTAAGGAGCTAAAACAAGATGGAGGAGCTCAGGTGGAGCAGGGGCAAGAGCAGCCTCAACCAGAAGAAGAGAATGTAGAGCACGTTAAGAAACGGAAGAAGAAGCGGAAGGAGCTTGAACCGGATGGAGTGGAGAAGGAAACTTTGGTGGCCGAGGGGAAAGAGAAGAACCAGCTGGTTTTTGCGGAGGAAAAAAATTCTGAGCTCTCCGAGAACCCGAAGAAGAAGAAGAAGAAGAAGAAGCGTCAAGCACTAGAACAGATCCAGGATGGGCAGCAGCAAGTTCACGAGGAGGAGCGGCCATATCACGAGAAGCAAGGACTGGAGAAGGAAAAGCAAGAGGAGAGAATGGAGCTCCAATCCAAGCGGAAGAAGAAGAAGCGTACTTTCAGCGAGCAAGAACACTGGGATAGAAATGGAGGAGCTCAAGCGGTGATAGAGTGGGATGGTGGTCTCATGCCAGAGAAACACTACGTGGAACTGGACGAGGAGGTGAGGCCGCCGTCGGTGGCAACGCTCAGGAGAAAAGCTCGACGCGCGAGGCAAAAGGAGAGACGGAGGCTGGAGCAATCCTCGATCTTCTAGTTCGTTTCTTCTCGATGGATCGAAGTGACACCAAGAACACCAGGAGTGTGACACTTCGAATTATCTTAATAACAAAAAGATACATAGAACACGAAGAACACGAGGAACCAAAACTCTAGATTGCCTTATCTAGATCCACAAGAGAACCACTAGACTTTGAGCACGATGGAGGCTCTTGAAAGAGCGCTTATACGTAGACAGGAACTAAAACTCTAGATTGCCTCGTGTAGATCCACAAGAGAGCCACTAGACTTTGAGCACGATGGTGGATCTCGAAAGAGCGATGCGCGCAGCCTCTTAGACACAATCCCCACCTCAAAGTAGATATAGTCTCGGTTGGATTCATCCACGCGAATTCCCGTCACTCCCAGCCACAGGAAGAACTCCTTGGCCTGGATCCCCGATAGATTCTCGATCTTGCCATAGCCCAGCTTCCCAGAGATGGTAGTGCCATACCACACCAGATTCTCGAAGCGGTGGTAGCATTCGTGCTGGAGATGGACGACGAATGTGGAATTGTTGTCGCGCAGCGAGTAGCTGGTGACCAGATTGGGGAGAAGACCGCCGGGAAGGCCATGCTCTTCCAAGAATCGCGACACCTCGGCGCTGGGGAGAATGGCGTCAGCGGCGAGGGACAATCGAGGCAGCGATGCCAGGAAGAAGAGCAATGGCGCAAGCACGAACATCATCTCTCACCTCTCCGGGCGCGATTAGGTTAGGGTTGGCTATTCGCTAGTAGGGGAGAAGGATCTCCCGCGGTGATTTCTTCTCGCATTTCTACGATCCAAGCAGGTAGAATGGAGCTGCTATATAAGCGCCAGAGGATTGGTGCGAGATTTCTTCTCCAGCCATGGATCGTCTTCTCGCCCCGCTACGCATTCTTTTCCTTGGGCAGTGGATGAGGGGGATTTGCGGGGTTCCCAGGATTTATCCCGCCACAGCTTGGTGCTGGATTCTTTCCAGGAGCTGATGGCGCGCAAGAGATACCAGAGATCACCATTCCGATTCCTAATATCCGGAAATCCCCAGGATTCCAGAGATCCTGATCGTTCCAAAGGCCGAAGGAAGTTCCAGTCGTTCCAGAAGTTCCAAAGGTTCCAGAGGTTCCAGTCATTCCAGAAGTTCCAGAGGTTCCGGAGGTTCCAGTCATCCCTGAGGTTCCAGAGGTTCCGGAGGTTCCGGTCATAGTTTCATAGGTTCCAGTCATTCCCAAGGTACCGGAGGTTCCTTCAGAAATACCCAAAGTTCCGGAACTTCCCAAAGTGCCAGAAGTTCCAGTTCCAAGGGTTCGGGAGTATCCAGTACTTTCGGAGATTCCTCCCAAGAAGCCTGTCCCCGAAGTTCCAAAGGTACCGGAGTATCTAGTAGTTCCCGAGGTTCCGCTCAAGAAGCCGGTCCCCAAAGTTCCAAAGTTTCCAGTGATACCGGGTTTGCTTCCCAGTGGCATGATACCGGGGCCTGGCGTCAGGGACAGGGTTTTCCATTCTCAGGCCATTTCCCGGTGGTGCTACTTCTGCATGGGCATTGCTATGTTGCGGCCTGGCTTCTACTAGGAGAAGTGCCCTGCTGCCGAGTCCACTGTGAAGGGCAGGCTGTGGAAAAAGATCCAAGAACTGCTTCAACATTCTCAGGGTTCACTTCCATGATTGTTTCGTTCTGGTAAGTTTGTTGCATTTTTTTTTCTTTGGATTTGACAAGAAGATGTGATTTTTATGGACGAACTGGAACTCTGGCTCGTGGCTTCAAGAGGCTAGGTAGTTTTTGAGTTCAGTTCATTCGATGAGCTCAAGTCAACCCAACAGAAGTCAACATAATGCACCAAATATAAAACTTGATCTTCAGGACTTCAATCTTGAATCCGATAAATTTAATAACATATAAGTCTAATAAAAAAAACTAAATATCATGATTCAAAGATAATACAATTAAATATTCTAATAAAATAAATAAATCTAGTTTTCCTCCACAAAAGGATGAATTGATATAGCATAATGCTCTTTGGCTGTGGTTCTTGTTGTACATGAGATTGTGCTATTGCTTCTGCATAACATAGCAAATTTCACCTAACATAACCATGATGGAATTATTATAATAAGAAATTTAGATTTTATTATCACCTCTTGTGAAATGTACCAAACAGAAAGAGAATGGGTAATTATAAGTGATCTAGCAGAGATCACATTTCAGGCTGTTTAATATGTGAATTCTTTCAGCCACTCACTTAACATCAATCAAAAAATCTATGGACGTTTATAATATGTGGTCCGTGCAATTTTTGGTCATCTCAAGTTACCGTGGTTCAGGGTAGATCTAGCTCCATGATGAAAGCAGAAGTCTTTTAAAATTAGACAGACAATTTGTCTTTTCAGATTAAAACTGGTCATATTAGACTATAGGATCTCAGAAACCTCTTTGGCGTTCGTGAAGAAAGCTGCATCCCACCCAAACTGCTCCTCCTATGGCTTTGAAGAGTTCTAAGCTCCTGCCTGCATCTCAGGAAGGTGATCAAAAGGACCACTGGCATCAAAACCGCTGTGGACACCCATGCGAGCAGGAGACTATTTGATTTGTAAGTCGATTCGCCCTGAGCAACAACCAGCACTCGCAATCCATGGCTTGTCACCTGCACTTGGTCAGCGTGTAGTGCCCAGCTCCTGAAACTCTTCTCTCTTTGCAACTCAGTCGGCGTCAAAGCCACAACAGCGGAGTAGGAAACAATGGCCAGGACCAGGTTGCAGCAGCACAAAAGCCCTAGTTTCAAGCGTGAAGAGACTCTCACACCTCGCACCAGCTTCAACTGTGCATCTGTCAATGGCACCACTCCCGCAACAACTGCGATGAAAGCACTGGGGAGAGTTATGGCCACCACCCAGAACTCCGCCGGGGAACCTTGCTCCAGGTTCAAAAGCGAGAGATGCTCAGCAATGTACGACGCTTTAACTTGAGAGAGCAGCGAGCTAAGAATGTCTATGTCCGAACTTGTTTGCAGCAGATCCTGGGGTGGATCTATGCCCCACAAGCACATTTCCGGCTTGGCTGCTCTTCTATTTTCACATACTGGTGCATCATAGAGAGGAAAGTTGGATGACGGACTGTTCGTCGTTCGCACCCAGATAGATGAAAGTCCTGAGCAGCTCTGTCTTTGCAAAGGCACCAGTGTATTGGTCTCGTTCCTGGAAGCTTCATAGACGGCTTTGAAATACGGCACCAGACTGGCTTTCACTTCTTTCTCGCCACAGTCGAAGTGTACGCAGTGGAATCTCCACGAGCTGAGTGTGGTTCCAGTAGCATTCAGCTCCTCACTGTAGCAAGCGTAGTAGCCCGACTGGTTGGAAAACAGAAAGGGTGACTCGCTTTGGCAGCCTCCAACAATTTTGCCCGGAAGAAAGGCCGGTCCCAGGACAGTGAGAAGCTCACTGCCTGTGGCGTTCTTGAACTCTTCATCCATTCTATAACATTTCGCGGCTCCACCATAGTTGTACACACCTGCTTCAGGAGCTTTTCTCACGTTTGGAGATGGTAAGCGGGCTCCTTTATCAGTCAGCGCAACCTCACCTCGATCAGCAAAGATGTCAAATCCTAAGTTGCCACAGTTTGGTAAGTTTTTGTAGCTTTCCCTTGCTAGAGTTCTAGCTTGAAACCCTGACTCTGACTGTGTGTTTGTATAGTACTCAGTTGGAAACTCCAGTATCCTGGAGGGAACCGTGTTTGTGACCTGTTGGACATTACTGTTGTCACTGACTACCTCCCACAAGCTGAAGTATGTTGGTGAGTACCTTGTCCAGTTTCTGATTTCCTGATCATAATCTTGAGGAGTAACCCGCAGAACAACTGGTGCAATTGGTTCACAGGCGGCATCTGCTGTAGATGCGGCCTGCTGGTTTTCCTGCAGGCAGACAAATGCCAGCAGCCACATGGTGATCTTCATGGTTCCCAGACCCTTGACGTGCTCGGAGGACTCATACTCTGCTATGGATGCATTCCTGGTTGCTAAGAGCCCTCCCCTATCACGGATCTCTTTCAGATAGTCCTTGTCACATACCTGTTCTACACTGCCCAGCTCCTCTTCTGGAATGGGAATCGACACCAAGTACCTCAAGAAGACCTCTGGATGCGATTTGAGGTGCGGAATGAACTGCCACCAGATGGATTTCTGAGACGTATCACCGCTCATGCTTAGAAGTGCTCTGGAGCTGTTTACTCCAGCCAGTTCACCCCGTTGCACTGATACTTCCGCTGCTCCCAGGTGAATGTGAAGAATCCCCACTACGAGAAGGGCGACGATCCAAGCCATCAAACAATTCGACTATCGATAAATGGCTTCAGGCAGCCCCAATATGTGTAATGGCAAGACTTCCAAGTCGCCACCGCCAGGAAGGACCATTGGAACGGCTTCTTTTAATTTCCCGGATGTGACAAGAACGACTTCCAAAACACTGTCAACAGTCCTTTTCTTGTATTCAAAACTAGAGGCCTCCCGTTAAATCTCATTTTTTTTGCCATGTTCAAACTTGCACAGCAAAGAAGACAAAAGAACGTGACAAGGCAGGGAAAGATCAGTGCTCCATCCAAATACTTCGTTTTCAAAGAGGCGTGTAAATCTATAGTTGGACCAGTCAAAGACCGAAGCAAAATCTTTATGGTAACCACGCTTCAAAAACACGCCCACGAACCCATGTTAAAGGAGCTCCTAAACATGGAATGGTACGATATAGGCATGACTTAAGCAAGGTAGTTAATCTGGAGGATTGCACCACTGCGATCCCCTGCGCTTCTTGTTACCATACGGTATGTGTATCACTCTCTATGTTTTTTTCTTTTTTACATCTGGTTCCTCGCTATGGATTTCTCCAGTGAATGGCAGCAGACGTCTAGTGAGTACTATGCATTTCATCACATACAAATTTACAATGTTTATGAATGGGATTCTTCGTCAGTTTCCACTATCGTGTATGAATTCGTTTTTCACAGGAAAGCTTGGAACTTGGTAAATGCAAGACTCGAATGATTCCATCAATTTGTTACCTGGTGTAGCATGCAATATTAGATGCAATGTGGAGTTTTAGGTTGGAGCTGACAAAATACAAAGCACAAACATCATCTGTCACCTCTCTGGGCGCGATTAGGTTAGGGTTAGCTGTTCGCTAGTAGGGAAGGCGCGACGCGGTGGATTCTTGTTCTTCTTCTTTTTCTTCTTCTTCGATTTCTTCTCGCATGCCAGTGGCTAGTCAAGATTTCTAGGTGAAGTGTGAAGTCAGCCACGATCCAAGCAGGAAGAATGGAGCTGCTATATAAGCGCCAGAGGATTGCTGCGAGATTTCTTCTCCAGGCATGGCCATGGATCGTCTTCTCGTGCCGCTACGCATTCTTTTCCTTGTTCTTGCTTGGGCAGTGGATGGACAGGCCGAGCAAGGAGGATTTGCGGGGTTCCCAGGATTTATTCCGCCACAGCTTGGCGCTGGATTCTTTCCGGGAGCTGGCGGTGCGCAGGAGTTTCCTCCTTTGATCCCAGAGATCACCATTCCGATTCCCAAGATCCCGGAGATCCCCAGCATTCCACAGATTCCAAGGATTCCAGAGATTCCGATCGTTCCAAAGGTCCCGCCGAAGGAAGTTCCAGTCGTTCCAGAAGTTCCAAAGGTTCCAGAGGTTCCAGTAATTCCAGAAGTTCCAAAGGTTCCGGAGGTTCCCAAAGTTCCAGCAGTTCCAATCATTCCCAAGGTACCGGAGGTTCCTCCAGAAATACCTACAGTTCCAGAAATTCCACCCAAAGTGCCAGAAGTTCCCAAAGTTCCAGAAGTTCCCGTTCCAAAGGTTCCGGAGTATCCAGTAGTTCCGGAGATTCCTTCCAAGCAGCCGGTCCCCGAAGTTCCAAAGGTTCCGGAGTATCCAGTAGTTCCCGAGATTCCTCCCAAGCAGCCGGTCCCCGAAGTTCCAAAGGTTCCGGAGTATCCAGTAGTTCCCGAGATTCCTCCCAAGCAGCCGGTCCCCGAAGTTCCAAAGGTTCCGGAGTATCCAGTAGTTCCGAAGGAGCAAGTTCCAAAGTTTCCAGCCATCCCGGGTTTACTTCCCGGTGGCATGATACCGAGGCCTGGCGTGGGAGGCTTTCCATTCCCAGCAGGACGGGGTTTTCCATTCCCAGGAGGACGACCATTTCCATTTCCCGGTGGTGCTACTTCTGCGGAGATGGGAGTTGCTGTGTTGCGGCCTGGCTTCTACAAGGAGAAGTGCCCCGCTGCCGAGTCTATCGTGAAGAAAGTCTTGCAGCAGGCTGTGGAAAAGGATTCTAGAACTGCTGCAAACATTCTCAGGCTTCAGTTCCACGATTGTTTCGTTCTGGTAAGTTGTTGCATTCTTTTTTCTTTGTTTTTCTTTGTTTTTGATGAGAATAAGATGTGAATTTCTTGCAGGGATGTGATGCTTCCATACTTCTGGACGATACGCATACTTTCAAAGGAGAAAAGACCGCCAATCCCAACAGGAACTCGGCTCGTGGCTTCGAAGTCATTGACGAGATCAAGGCTGCTCTGGAGAAGGAATGCGAGGGTGTTGTTTCTTGTGCCGACGTTCTCGCCATTGCTGCACGGGACTCGGTCGTCCTGGTACGTACTTCGATACTAGACTTTGATCTCACTTCTTTTCTGTGTGGCATGAATCAGACTGGAGGCCCGTCGTGGGAAGTTCATCTTGGTCGTCGAGACAGCCTGACTGCGAGCCGCAGCCTGGCCAACAGAGACATCCCGCCTCCCAACTCGACGCTTCCGCAGCTCATCGCCGCGTTTGCCAAGAAGGGCCTGTCCATCGTGGACTTGGTAGCACTGACGGGCTCTCACACCATCGGCGTGTCACGCTGCGCCAGCTTCCGGCAGCGCCTCTACAACTTTGCGGGAACTCGTCGGCCAGATCCGAGCATCGACCCGGCGCTCCTCCGCAGCCTCGAGCACATTTGTCCTCCCAAAGGCAACGCGCAGGAGACGACGCCTCTGGACATCGTCACTCCCACCAAGTTTGACAATCACTTCTTCGTCGATCTGGAGCTTCACAAGGGTGTTCTTACGTCGGACCAGGTGCTGTTTGCGCCGTATGCTCCCACCAGCGCACTGGTTACGGCATTTGCCTACGACCAGGCAAAGTTCTTCCAGGAGTTTGTAGCGTCCATGGTGAGGATGGCTGCCATCAAGCCGCTGCTGGGATCGGAGGGCCAGATCAGGAAGGAGTGCCGGTTCGTCAATCACAAGTACTGAAGCAGGGTTTTAGTTGCTCTAGCGTTTTTAGCTTTTGATTCATTCATTCTTCCAAGTAAGTACTAAGATTTTGTGAAGTGAATCCTTTTAGATTAAAAGAAGAAAAAAAGTAGAATGCATTTTCTTGATTCTCAGATAGGGGCTGTTCAAATTTATTGTGAGCAAGAACACGGGTGAACAAACAGAGAGAGAAATGATTTCATGAAGCATGCAAAGAAGACCCGCCATGTCCATGTCCATGTCCATGTCTCCCCTTCCCAAGACGCCATGGAGAACTTTCAAAGGCTCTCTAATGCTTTCAATAGATCATTTGGAGCTCTGGAAGTTCTCCATCACGAGAGAGACAAATAATACAAGTGAAAATCTAAGTCTGGAACAAGAAAACCCTAAGGGTCGATTTACTTTATTGCTCCAACGTCTCTCAAACTCGAGAGAAACTTTGAATGATGAATGGAGAGGAGGCAGCTTGTGGAAGCCATTCAATCTTGCAAAACGCTCAATGATGCAAAAGAGATTCACTTGGCAGCCCATTCCTTTCTCTCCGCAAGCTCCGACTCCTTCCTCGCAAACAAGCTGATTGAAATGTACGCCAGGTGTGGAAGCCCCGCCCTGGCACGCCAGATCTTCGACAAGAACCAAGTCAAAAATGATTCCTTCTCCTGGGACATGATGCTCTTGGCCTACACCAGCAACCGGCAGCTCGACCAGGCCCGAGAATTCTTCCGCGCGATGCCACAGCCCAGCGTCGTTTCATGGAACATTCTTCTTCGTGCAGTTGCCGAAGCATGCCATCTTGTTGAGGCCCAAGAAGTGTTTGATTCTATGCCTCAGCACAGTCTTGTTTCATGGAACACAATCTTGGCTGCTTACACACAGAATGGATCTCAAGACGAAGCAAAGAGGACTTTCGACTTGCTCCCACAAAAGGATCTTGTTTCCTGGTCCGTGCTCTTGTCTGCATATGCCCGTGAAGGGCATGTTGTAAGAACCATGGACTTGTTTGAGACAATGCCGATGTGGAACATCGTGTCATGGACGACAATGCTGGGAACCATTATTGATAGAAAAGATCTCGTGCGTGCATGGGCATTCTTTAGCGAAGAAATGCCAGAGCACGACCTCATATCCTGCACTGCAATGCTTGCCGCTTATGCCCAGCACGGGCATTTGGAAAGCGCTAAAGCCTTGTTCGACTCAATGCCTCAAACAAATCTAGTTGCTTGGAATGCGCTCCTAATGGCCTACGTACAGTGCGAGAGGGTTGACGAAGCTAGGATCATTCTACACTCCATGCCGCAACTAGATCTAGTCTCGTGGACTACACTCTTGCATGCGTATGCTCAGAGCGATCGCTTGGAGGACGCCAAGCTCCTCTTTGATCGCTTGCCTGAGAGAGATCTAATCGCGTGGAACGCCATGCTCGCCGCCTACAGCCGGCATCACGTCGCCGAGACCAAAGCCACTTTTGATCGAATGCCGCGAGTGAATGTGCTCTCATGGAGCTCGTTGCTCGCTGCATATGCTCAAGCTGGAGATTTGGAGCAGGCGAGGCGTGTGCTGGATTCGATGCCTCAGCTGGACCTTCCGTCATTCAACTCAATGCTTTTCGTGTATGGAAAGTGTGGGTGCTTGAGCGAAGCCAAGAGGTTGTTTGAGGCAATGCCTCTCCGGGACTTGATCTCCTGGACGTCGATGCTCCAGACTTACGCTAGAAACGGGTGTGTGGAGGAGGCCAAGAAGCTGCTAGCAGAGATGCCCGAGCAAAACGCTGTGAGCTGGGCAGTGATGCTACCACTGTATGGGCTTGATGGGCATCTTGACGAGGCAAGACATTCCCTGGAAGCAATGCCCGAGAGGAACCCAGCGCTGTGGACGGCAATGCTGACAGCGTATGCATGGAACGGGCACATCCATCAGGCCAAGGCAGTGTTTGATGCCATGCCGGAGAGAGATGGACTTGCGTGGAGCGTCATGATCGCGGGCTATGCCTACAACAAACTGGAATCAGCGACGATGCTCACATTTCACACGATGATCACGAATGGTGGCGACGTGACGATAGGCCGCGCAAGTGATTCGTGCTTCACATCGCTGCTCATCGCTTGCAGCCATGCCGGGAAGGTTTCGAGTGCTCGCAAGTTTCTGATGTCGATGGTGGTGGACTTTGGGCTGGAGCCTTCTAAAGACCACTACACTGGCGTGGTGGATCTGCTTGCCCGATCTGCGCACTCGCGAGATGCCCAGGATGCCATCCAAAACATGCCGTTTGTGCCCAGCGACCTAGAGTGGACGTGCTTGCTGGGAGGCTACGCGAGAAGCAATCTCTCGCGAGACAATGACAAAGTTTTCGACCATGACGATGGCAAGAAGAACTCAAGCTATCCGTCAGTGCCTACCAGTGCTTTCTACTCGCTGATAGCCAACATGTGGTCATACACCACCTAAAGAACAAAGACGTATAACTTGGAAAAGCCTACGTCGAGTCTTACGACCAAATTCTATCGAGCAAACCATCCTATTAGATTCATTCCAGACAATAAACTCCTTAGGTTTGTATGGGAGTTCGCGCGCGGCTTTTCCATTTAAAAAAATTTGTGTCTGGGGATCCTTGTCTGTTCGTGGGGCATCGTTTCGTGCAGTACGGCGCCGCGCGATCGCTCGCTCGCTACGACTCACCTTTCGTCACAGTGGAGCAGATCGAACAGAAAGAAGAAGTTTCTCACAAGCTGGAGAGAATGGATTGGTCGCAAGCGTCGTCAATCGAGATCGCGGTTGGCGCGCTCCGTTTTGGATGGATTTTGACGCGGCTGATCGCTCGCGGCGACGTCTCAAGCTTGCGGTGCTCCCCTCTCTCTCTCTCTCTCTCTCTCTCTTTCTCTCTCGGCTATGGGTTTGGTCGAGTGGATGGAACCGGAGATCAGACCGGGTCTCGCTATAAAAACCGAAACGTTCTTTGTGCAAGAACAGGATCATCCCTCTCTCTAGCTCGACGATTGATCGGTTCCAAGTCCGGAGAGATTCGATCATGTCGATGGTGGTGGTGCTGCTGCTGCTGCTGCCTTGCGCGTTGCTGTGCTTGTTCTCTTGTGCGGCAGCGCAGCTCACTCCAGATTTCTACGACAAATCCTGCCCAACCTTGATCCCCACTGTTCGTGCCGTGCTCCAGAAAGCCATTGCCAAGGAGCCCCGGATCGCTGCGTCGCTGCTACGCTTGCATTTCCACGACTGCTTCGTCAATGTAAGTGGCTCTTACGTAGTGCTCAATTCTTGGATCATCCATTTCTTCTGTCCATGCAGGGATGCGATGCTTCTTTGCTCTTGGACGACACTCCCAGTTTCACTGGCGAGAAAGGCGCGGTTCCAAACAACCGATCGGCGAGGGGCTTTCGAGTGGTGGATCGAGCAAAGTTTGCAGTGGAGAAATCGTGCCCGGGAGTGGTATCGTGCGCGGACATTCTCGCCATCCTCGCACGCGAATCAGTCGTCCTGGTAAGAATGCCAAGAACTTTCTTACACTTAAAACAGTGATCTTTCGATCGATCGGACTAACAGCTGGATGGACCGAGCTGGGCGGTGCAACTGGGCCGCCGCGATAGCACCACCGCCAACCGGAGCGCCGCCAACAACGAGATCCCACCACCGAATTCCACGCTCGCGAACCTTCTCTCCCAGTTCCAAGCCAAAGGTCTCAACGCGCAAGAGCTCGTCGCGCTCTCCGGATCCCACACCATCGGCCTCTCCCGCTGCGTGAGCTTCCGCGATCGTCTCTACAACTTCTCTGGATCCGGGCGCCCCGATTCCACGCTCCAGCCACACTTTTGGGAAGATCTCCGCGCCAAATGCCCGCGTTTCCACGGCAACAACGTCGTCGCGCCGCTCGACGCCCACACTCCACTCCACTTCGACAATCTCTACTACCACAATCTCCACGCCAGTGTGGGTCTGCTCAACTCCGATCAGGTGCTCTACTCCACTTCCGGGCCGAATTCCACGCGCGCCATCGTCACCAGGTACCGCGACGATCAAGGCGCCTTCTTCGCGGATTTCGCTAGCGCCATGGTGAAGATGGGAAACATCAGCCCGCTCACCGGCACCAGCGGCCAGATTCGCAAGAAATGCCGCCGAGTCAATTGATCCCTCTCATCTTAGAATCGATCGATCGAATAGCCTCTTCGTTCTCGCGCAGCGCTCTGTTTTTAGGGTTCTTCGTTTTTTGTCCTCTCCAATAACCCTGGCACAAGCAATCCTTGTCGAAGTAGTGGAATCGGCTAGAATCCCTCACCACGATCTTTCTGCTAGAGATCCTAGTGGTGGCGTGGCAATCAGAGCAGACTCGCACATTCCACAACGTCGTGGCATTGGGCGTCGCAATCATCCCCCACAATCGCGAGCCTTGTGAAGATGTGATGCCCTCTTCTTCACCCAGCTGCAAATCATCGGGCTTGTATCCAGCCTCCTGGATAGATCTCTCTAGCCACTCCAATTCGGCCTCGATCTTAAATGCAATTACCAACTCCCCAGCCACCCCTCAATCTCAATTGAAGGTGCAAGAGGTGTCTTAAACCTAGAGACTTTGTGGCGGTGCAATGAAAAGTGGAACTAGATAAAGAGCGAGTTAGATTGAGGGTTTGGACACCAGAGTTCATGGCAGCTTAGGAGGATGGCAACATAGAGGTGTGGTTTATAGTGTTCCTGGCGAGGAATGTAGGCTACATGATATGTTGCTGTTGGTGGGTGATGAGCAAAACATGCTGATGGTAATGGACGACAAGGTAGGGGAGGATTTGAGTGGTATGGCAGGCCCTGAAACAGTTGACAGTAGCTCAATCAACGACCATGCTCAAGGGGGAAGGAATACTTAGATGGTGGCAACAGCATTTGATCGAGGACTTAGACTGGGATCATACAATATAGAAACCATGAGTAAGGAACTTCCTCTTGTTGGAGGTAAAGGAAGTGTGAGTGAGGAGCTTTTTGTTTGAGGTAAACAAAGTGTGAGCAAGGAGCTTTGTCTTGTTTGAGGTTAAAGAAGTGTGAGAGGAGGTTTGTGGTAAGCAAAGAGTTCAAACAAGTGATATTGGAAACTATTTGGTTATGTAAACTTTTGAATTTATAACTCCTAAATTTAGAATTTTTTTTCCCAATACTATTCAAGATGCTTAACCATAAGAATTCTAAAACCTTTAATTGATTGGAAAAGAAAATGCACTTTTAATTCTAGACACTTTCGACTTTTAACTAATTGGAAAATAAGGTGTAATAAATTCTTTCTTTCTATATTCAAACTTTTATAAATTTTTTTTCAAATTATTCTTTTTGGTTGTTTAGAAGTTAGTGGTGGATAATGGGTAACTAATGGGAATTCTAGATCATTGTGACTCAAGCAAGCTCCCAGCAAGCTCCATAGAAACTCTTTACAAAAGTGTTATTTTATGGAACTAAGCTACTCTATAAATACCTCACTACATTAAGGTACAACATTTTCATGATGAAACATATTGATAGTGCAAAAATGTAGAAAGATAAAAATATTGTAACACATACTTTGGGATTGTGATATGGCAAAAGAGATATAGAGACAAATTCTCAAAATGGCAAGGATATTCTAAAGTTTGAAGCTAGAAGTGGGGATATTCTTCATTGGTTTGAAGGAACAAGAGGTCTGGCCACAAGTCACTTTGGAGATGCATTTAATGTCAAGGATGACATGGTTGGGGAATGCAAATTTGGTGGGATGTGACAAAAGCTAAAGTTGGCATGTCAGTTTGGGAGGCAATGGGTCAAAAGCATTGGGCAATATGGAAAACAACATAAATATAAGCACTCTAGGAAGTATATAACTATTATCACTTCAATGGACATCAAGTGAGGTTATTTGCCATTCTGGCCTCATGGTGGAGACTTACCCTTGCAATTGTGTGCCTTCACTACACCAGTCTATTCTGAAAGAGCAGGTGAAACCTAGTCAACTAGATGAGTGGAGGAATAAATGGCTCATGTGTTTCAATAGGGTGGTTGACAATGAGATCCATTAGCAGTGGTGCCTCCCCAACTCTAATCTATGTTTAGCTCAAGGGGGAGATTTGGATATCAACTTGATCTACAATAGATGACCATGATTGCTTTTACTTCAAGACTAAGTCTAATTGAGACATAAAAGAATCACATAAAATAGCTTGTTAAGAGGTGGCATGCCTAATTTTTGTATTAATCTAATTGAGACATGGGGAATGCACATACATGTTTATCAATCAAAAGTGTATAATAGCTTGAAACTCCACTCTTAATTGCCAACAATGCCTCCAACTTGTTTGTCACTTAGATGTAGACTATGTCCTCTTCAACCACTTTTGATGAGGACAGATGCTCCCTGATCAGATGGATTTCCTTGGGAGACAAAACATTGCAGCCATTTTCAGCTTTCTAAACCCTAATCCATATAAGGTCGTGCCACGTCATCACTATTTATGTTTAATAAAAATACATTTATGTGTTGTTTACACGGATTGCCTTTCACCTCCACGCCCGGGAGGCTCCGATCCGAGATGTAAATCTAGAACATTGCTACTGACGAAAGTCCGCCTCTACCAATGCTACCAAAGTCTTGTTGTGAGAGAGATTAAATACTGAGAGGAGCTGAGGGCGATTTGTAAGCTGGCAGCGCTGGAGTGAACGTGAAGGGGCCGACCTCATAGACGAGAGTCTCGGCCACGATTTTGCTCTTTCTCTTGTCGATCTTGGCACCGGATTTGCCATTGTTTACATTGGTGGCAGTGTAGCAATTCTTGCTTGCAGCATCTGCACAAAGCTTAGGAACAGAGGCATCCTATTCCATTTTTAATTCTCACAGGCGCATAGGAACCAAGAAAGCATTATCTTGTTCATGTTGCCTTCATGTTTATTCTCATGTTTTGCTTCAGGACTTTTGTTTCAGCTCCAATTATAATCTTCATGGAAACTTTTAATGTAGTTTCAAGGTAACATACATCTAACTCTATGATGCATTTGCTTATCTTTTGGTTTTTCTCGTTTTTTTTTCCTAACAACATTAAGATTACAATTACTCCAAATCCCCAAACATGAACAAATACTAAGCCAATAATTTCTATATGACTTCTATCATTTATCGGCACCATATTCATTCATTCACGGAATGCTGGGGATCTCCGGGATCTTGGGAATCGGAATGGTGATCTCTGGGATCAAAGGAGGAAACTCTTGCGCGCCGCCAGCTCCCAGAAAAAGTACAGCAGGCGGGATAAATCCTGGGGACATCGCAAATCGTCCGAACAAGGAAAAGAATGCGTAGCGGCACGAGAAGACGATCCATGGCCATGGCTGGGGAAGAAATCTAGCAGCGATCCTCTGGCGCTTATATAGCAGCGCCATCCTGCTTGGGGGCACTGGCATCGCTCCTGGAGCTCTTCCTCCCCCCTTAACCGAATCGCGCCCAGCTGAGAGATGTTGCGCTCTTCGCTGACCCTCGTCGCTGACGCGATTCTGCCAGAGCGGAAGATCATGGCTCCCCGGCAGTCTTCTCCAATCTGGTCGACAACAATCGTCCATCTTCAGCACAAATGCTACCACCACTTCGAGAATCTGGTGTGGCATGGCACTGCCATCTCTGAGAAGCTGGGCTATGGCAAGATCTAGAATCTATCGGGGATCCAAGCCAAGGAGCTCTTCCTGTGGCTGGGAGTGACGGGTGGATGAATCCAATCGCGACTACATCTACTTGGAGGTGGGGCTTGTGTCTAAGAGGCTGCGCGCATCGCTCTTTCGAGATCCATTGTCTGGATACTATTGTACTCAAAGTCTAGTGGCTCTGTTGTGGATCGTGAAACTGTGCGACAAGACAGCTACCGCGACGATCAAGACGCGGATTTCGTCCAAAGCATGGTGAAGATGCACGGGTACCAGCGGCCAGATCCGCAAGAACTGACGCCGAGTGAATTGATCCAATCTGCGCCAAGAACCGAATCGATCGATCGACCGACTAGCCTCTCGCTTGCTTTTAAGGTTCCTCACCAATAATCCTGGCACGAGCATTGCCCCTTGTCGAAGTAGTGGAACCGGCTAGAATCCCTCACCACGATCTTCCTGCCAGAGATCCTCGCGATGATCTTCGCGGCGGCGTGGCAATCAGCGCAGACGCGCACATTCTTGACGATCCGCAACGTCGTGGCGCTGGGCGTCGCGATCATCCCCAGCGCGATCGCGAGCCTCTCACTGTGATGCGAAGATGCAACGCCCTCTTCTTCTCCCAGCTGCAAATCATCGGGCTTGTATCCGGCCTCCTGGATCGATCTCTCCAGCCGCTCCAATTCAGCCTCGATCTCGCCGCTGCGAGGATGCGATCGCCACTCCCCAGCAACCAATCGATGCTGCTTCCCATCGATCTCGATGACAGCCACGGCGGTGGCGCTGCTACCCTTCTTGTTCTTCCTCATCTCTTCTCTCACAGCCTCGGCCTTCTCGCGCTTGCCGATCGACGCGTAGAGCCCCGCGAGCAGCACGTACGTGGTGGGATTCGCGGCGTCCAGCTCGATGATCCGGTGAGCGATCCGCGCGCCAATCTCTTCGCTGCGATGATTCTTGCACGCGCCCAGCAGCGCCATCCATGTCACGATCTCGGGGACGAAGGGCATCGATCCCATGAGATCTTCCGCGTCCGCGAGCTCCCCCGATCGCCCAAGAAGATCCACCATGCAGCCGTAGTGATCCCTCCCGGGCTGGATCGCGAAATCGGCGCTCATGGACGTGAAGATCTCTCGCCCACTGGCCAGCAATCCCTCGCGGCTGCATCCCGTGAGCACGCTGACGAAGGAGATCTCGTCCGCCGCCACTCCCTCCTGGATCATCCGCTGGAACTTCCCCACCGATTCCTTCCCTTGCCCGCAGTGCGCCAGCGCCGCCACCGCTGCGTTCCACGCCGCCACGTCCCGCCATGGCATATCCTCGAACACCGCCACGGCCTCATCCAGCCGTCCGCTCTGGGCGTACGCCGCCATCATGGCCGTCCATGACACCACGTCCTGCTCGTCCGCCGCCATGGAATCGAATGTCTTCTTGGCGCCCACAAGATGCCCCTTCTCGGCAAATGCTGTGATGAGCGCGTTGTGAGCCGCCGCGCCCTTGTGTGGCCGCGGCATCGACTTGAGAAGCTCCGCCGCCTTGCGCAGTGCGCCGTGGCGAGCGTAGCCCTGGATCATCGCGAGCCACGACACCTCCGTGCGATCCTCCTCCGCCATCGCGTCAAACACCTCTCTCGCGTGATCCAAATCCCCCTTTCGGGAAAGTGCTGTGATAATCGCATTTGCAGCAACCACGTCCTTCTCTTCCATTGCCTCGAACATCTCCTTCGCCTTGTCAACGTGGCCCAGCTGCGCGTAGCGACATACCAACAACGCTTGCGACATCGCATCCCACTCGGGCATTTGCTCGTAGAGTTTCTCCATCTTCCGCAAATGCCCTTTCCGGGCATATACCGAGAGCATGGAGCTGCAGTGCACGATCGTCCTCGCGGGCATCCTCGCAAACATGGCCTCGGCATCTGCGAGCTCCCCGATCTGGGCGGTGGCTTGCAGCATCGTCGCCCAGCTCACCTCGTTCCTGGCGGGCATCGACTGGAACACCCGGCAGGCTTGGGCGATGTCGAGGCAATTGGCGTGGCCGAGAAGGATGCTCGTCCACGACACGACATCGTGGTGGGGCATTCGATCCATCACCGCTCGCGAGCGATCGATCTCACCCCTTTCCGTGTAGGCGGAGATCATGGCATTCCAGGTGACGGCATCGCGCCGCGGCATCGCCTCGAACAGCCGCCGCGCGCCGCCCAGATCCCTGTTGTGGATGCTGGCGCCGAGCATGATGCTCCAGGAGAAGATGTTGGGGCCCGGGATGGAGTGAAATGCCGCGCGCGCGTCGTCGAGGCTGCCGCATTTGCCATACATCTGGACGAGGAGATTGCCGAGGAAGCGCGTGGGTCCGCCGGATTCGACGATCCGGGCGTGGATCCTCTTGCCCTCGGGCAGGAGCTTGGGCGTGTTGCACGATCGGAGGAGCCGCGCGAAGCATTCCTCTGTAGCCTTGGAAACCATAAACCCTAGAAAAATGCTTTGATCTTATATCTGTGACAGGGCAGGGATTCGAACCCTGGGACGAACGAAGAAATTAGGGCAAATCTTTCTAAGCGCTGGCTCGCGAGGAGGACGACGACGATGGCGGAACTTCGATCGATTCTTTCTCGCATTCCGGCGCCTCATCGAAATTGGAGATGGGGAACTTGGCGCTGGCGAAACCCACCTCGAAAACAAGATCTTGGTGGTTCACGCGGATGCCCGAGATGCTCCAGTCGATGAAGAAGGCGCGGACGCTCACCCCGCGCAGCGATTTGATGTAGCGTGGGCTCACGGTCCCGGAGATCTGGGAGTTGTAGGTGACGAGATAGGTGCCCTGGAGCATCGCTGAGCACGTCCTGTTGAGCGCCAGGCTGAATCGGCCATTGGAATTGAGAGTGTAGTTCACTACAGTGTGTGGCAGCAATCCCGGGGGGAATCCAAACGATTCCAGCTCCTCGTATGCCGTGGGAGGATCACTGCTCATTGCTGCTACACCCACTTTCTCTGGAATCGATCGCGCAGCCGCCAAGCTCGAGAAGAAGATCGCAAAGGCGAGGCATCGCCCAAGATCCATGGAGAACACAAGAGAGAACTGAGATACCCTTAGACAAGGTATATTCTCGTGTCATATAGAAATAGCCTTTTATCCTTGAATATTCCAGCTAGAGAGCTTGGAGCTTAGAAGGGGAGGAGGGGGAGCTTGAAGGATCCCTTCTTGGAGAGTGGTATTGTAAAGTTGCCGAGGATGGGAATGTCGACGGTCAATCCCACTCTCATCTCATAGTCGAGGTCCCAGTCGGTTCCCACGTCCTTGACGATGGTGAAGAGCACATTGTATGGAACTTTAGCCGGGATCTTCATCGCGGTCTTGTCATTGGCCTTGACGGATCCGGGGTCGGGGATTTTGCCGCTGACAATCTCCCTGTGGATCGAAGACAAAGCCATAAGATCGATCTTACAGAAGCTCAAAACAGAGAGAGCGAAGTTTACCTGTTGTTGCTGAACAAGGCGTAGGAGATCTCGCAGACTGGAAGATCGTGGTCGTAAGGATTGGTGATGAGGACATCGCTCTCCAGCAGAACCGAGGATCGGCTCACGTCCTTCACCGACACCCAAGTGAGATCTGCCTCGGGCTTCTCCATATGAGCCACTTTGTCCGCTACGAAGTTCTTCGCCTTGCCAACCAGCTGCGACATCGCTATCTATCTCTCTAGCAATCGATTAAAACAACTGAGAAGTCGAATGAGATTTATCGATCAACAACCGAATGCAATTGGAACACAAACCTCCGAGAAGTGGCTTTTGTAAGGCGAGGTCCAGCTGCCTCGCGTGGCTTGGCACAGTGGTGCCACATACCTCCCTCTCGACACGTCGCAACTTCGGAATAGCTCCAAGCTATTTTATTTCCGCACGTACGGTCACCAGACTTGATTCGAGCTCGAGAACGAAGGATCGTATCTGGGAAATTCAACACCTGCTGTAGCTATACTCTCGATGAGAATCGTATGATCTTCGTACCTTCGTCGCCACAGTTCTTGTTTGTCGGTGGTGCTCAGCATCTCGTCGTCTAAACGTTTCCAAGTCACGATCTTCTCCACTCCTCCTCCGCCATCGCTCAGCGAAGCCTCGATCACTCTGGCCCTCCGAGACCATCCCGCTTTGCCATAAGCGTGGTAGCCAAAGCCGCCGCCGTAGCAGAGTTGTATGTGTTGCAGCTCGCCGCAAAAGTCATTGACGTGGTCGTGACCAGTGAAAGCTGCTTTCACGTCTCCCATCTCCACAAGCGTCTGGAAGAAACCAGAGTTGAACGTTGGCGACGCCACCATCTCCTGCTTCACTCCCACGATCTGAGAGGACGTGAAGTTGTTCACTTCTGGGAGAGGAATGTGAAAGAACACTAGCGCTGGACGGCTTTGGTTGGCACTCCCCTGCGAAAGGAGAAAGACGAAAGAAGTATTAGTAAGAGTCTCAAGTGATGAAAGCAAGTTCGCAGACCTGGAGAGACGACGAGAGGTTTCTCAGCCACGCTTGCTGACTGGGCATGACCCAACCATAGCCTGGAATGCTTGGATCAGTGGAATAGTCTCCACTGTCCACGAAATACAAGTTGAGAAGGCTCTCCTGTTCCGAGTCTTGGCCAGGAGCGAGAACTTCGAGATTGTAGTTCCCAAATCCGTCAATGGTGGCGACCCCGGCAGGATTCACCTGTGCGAGCGTGTAGTTCATCTGGACGATGTGATCCATGACTCCGGAGCGCTTGAGAGACGATTCTTGATCATGGTTGCCTAGAACAGCTGCCCAGGGAAGTTTTGCCTCGACGGCTGGCGCAAACGCGGCATCGAGAGACTCGGCCGGATCGGAGCAGTCAGATGCGTATATATTGTCACCTGTTGTACGAGACAAGAAAGAAACATTCCATGGCGATCTCATACAAAAGGAAATCGAGAGGGAATACCTGTAAAGACGATGAGATCTGGCTTCTCCGCGTCGATCATCCTCTTGACGAAGCTCGTCGTGTTGAGATCCGAGCACCCTGCGTACTGCTCCGGGAGAACATCCAAGCATTTGGTCGTTGCTCCATTCGCGAAATGCATGTCAGCAACCTGGAAACTTTTTCGATCGCCTCGGTTCCACAAGAATCTACCTCTACCTGCAAGATCTTGAAGGCGCCGTGAGAATTGAACTGCAACAACCGTGCTGCTGCCACTGCGGCATCGATCAGCAGCAGCAGCGCCACGATCTGCGCCATGAATCCCATCCTCTGGCGAGCGAATGGATCGTAAGAGCCCTAAAATATACCACCGGCAAGAGCAATGGTTTTTGGCGGGTTGGAAAATGCCAGTTGGGGAGAGGAATCGAACCTGGGTCCTTTGTTCGCCAATGTAGCCGTTGGGCAAACATTCGGAATTTTTTACCCTAGAGAGCGAGCGAGCGAGCGCGGCTATGGCGGCTCTCGCTGCGGCAATGGTAGCTATGGGAGAGAAGAATGCGCTGACTCCACGGAGTGGCGAGAAGGCAGGAGGAATAGGAATTCTCTCCACTCCGGGGAAATGTAGATCCAAGGAGGAGAAGATTTTTGTCACAGTCAGGGTGAGGCCGATGAGTTCTAGGGAAATCGCTCAGCGGGACACCGCAGATTGGGAGTGTCCAGATGATCATACTGTGTCTTATAAGCAGCAGCCGGATCGATCTCCTTATCCTGCGCGCTACTCTTTTGGTAAGTGAGCGAATCTCCCGCATCTCTCAAGATTGGCATCCGTGTTTTATTGCAGATCGCGTTTTTGGGCCCGAATCCTCCACGAAAGTTGTGTACGAAGAAGGGGCCAAGGATGTAGCGCTCTCTGCTCTAAGCGGGATAAATTGTGAGTGTTGGAAGCCTCCATTGTTGGAATTCTTTAAGTCATGGTCGTTTTTTTATTCTCCTTCCCAGCGACCATCTTTGCTTATGGACAAACCAGTAGTGGAAAAACGTTCACGATGAGGGGTGTGATTGAGAATGCTATAGTCGACATTTACGACGCTATAGAAAAGGTTTGCTGGTCAGGCACATCGAGTTTTTGAATCACAGTGGCTTTACAGAACCATCAAAGAGAGTACATTCTTAAGATAGCCGGGCTGGAGATCTACAACGAGGTTGTTCGTGATCTTCTTAACCCAGATACTGGAGCGTTGCGACTTCTAGACGATCCTGAGGTACAGAAGGTTTGAACGCTACAGCTTACATTGCTTTTCCCTTGCAGCGGGGAACCATCGTCGAGAAACTTACAGACACAATTGTTCGTGACTGCAAGCATTTACGGCAGGTCCTGTCTATTTGTGAAGGTTTGTTCTTTTGCTCTTTTTGCCATAGTACTTTTTTCTAATGAAGAATGTCGTTAGCTCAAAGACAAGTTGGGGAGACGATGCTCAACGATGCCAGCTCGAGATCCCATCAGATTATAAGGCTGGTACGCAAACCTTTAAATCTAAATTCTCAGGATTAAGGTTGAGTTTTAACAGACTGTGGAAAGTATTCCTCGCGAAAATGGAAACGGAAATGGAACTGTCAATAGCATGGTTGCAACGCTGGTAACATTTTGTACTGATTGCTTCGTCATTTACTGATTGACTTTTATGCGGACAGAATTTTGTAGATCTCGCAGGTAGTGAACGTGCGTCTCAAACACTCTCGGACGGAACTCGGTTGAAGGAAGGATGCCATATCAATCGTAGCTTGCTCACTTTAAGTACAGTCATTCGGAAACTCAGGTACTTTGGCCGCTCGACGGTTTTCGCTCATAATTATCTTTTGCAGTGGGAGCAATCGAACTAAAAGTGGTCATATTCCTTATCGGGATTCGAAGCTGACCAGGATTCTCCAGTTATCTCTCGGCGGAAATGCTCGCACAGCGATCATATGCACGATGAGTCCCGCGCGGGCCCATGTTGAACAGTCGCGTAACACGCTTGCATTCGCCACGCGCGCGAAGGAAGTTACAAATAATGCTCATGTGAATCTGGTAAGTCATCCTAGTCTGTATAATGATTTGATTCACGAGTAATTATTTTGTTTCAGGTTGTTTCGGACAAGGACCTTGTAAAACAGCTGCAGAAAGAAGTTGCAAGGCTTGAAGCTGAGCTGCGAATTCCAGAGGCTGCATTGTCTTCCGACGCTTTGCTACATCAGAAGGAGCAGCAAATTCAAAAGGTTGGCAATCTGTCCTTCGTCGTTGCAATTTCCCATCTAACATCGTCCTGCAGATGGAATCCGAAATGAAGGAGCTCATTCGTCAAAGGGATGCTGCCAAGACACAGCTCAATGAAGTTCTTGCAAAGATGGGAGACGAGCAGAGAGATCCAAAGGTACGATAATAGAGTGTTTTCTGACTTAGTCAGTATCTCACATGAGCGTTTTCGCTTTAGGAGTTATGCACTCCGACCAAAAAGCAGTTGCTGGTGGATGAGCTAGGCTGCCCCTCGAAGGCTCCTTTCATGCTTATACAAGAAATTCGAAAGCTAGAAAAGCTACAAGACGAGCTTGGAGAGGACGCAAGTAGAGCGCTGGAGGCCCTGCAGAAGGAAGTCGAATGCCTGCGTCTGGCTCAGGTAGATATGAACCAGGATGCGGTACAAACGATCACGAAGCTCCAAGAAGAGATCAAGAACCTGCACGTACAACACCGGAAGGACGAGAACGAGATCGAGGTTCAAACCTCTGTCAGCACCGATGTTTCGTCGCCAAAGCTAAAGACTCCAACCCGGAGAAGGAAGCTGCTACCTTCCACTATGGGCAGCACCACCAGCAGTAGCAGACAGCTTTTTGCCAACAGTCCACCGTGCTCACCCAAGACAACCAGGAGCGCTCTCCAAGAGAACAACGAGAACAATCCTCCTCGCTCCTCAGAGAACACGCCACCATCCGGAGGACACCGGAGAAGCAACTCTGTGGACATCCGGAAGATGCAGAACATGTTTAAAACTGCTGCCGAAGACAACATCAAGAGCATCCGGGCGTATGTCACCGAGCTCAAAGAGCGGGTGGCCAAGCTACAATATCAAAAGCAGCTTCTCGTCTGCCAGGTAACTAGCAAACTTTTGGAAATGCAATATATGTGACTCTGGCTTGTAGGTACTGGAGCTGGAATCCAACAACACTGGCGGAGAGAACGAGTATGGAGAGATGACTCCTTCCTTGCATTCTCCCTCGGGATGGAGGCTACAGTTCGAGAAGCAACGAATGCAGATCATCGAGCTATGGGACGTGTGCCAGGTCTCGATCATTCACAGGACACAGTTCTATTTGCTCTTCAGAGGGGACCCTGCCGACGCCATGTACATGGAGGTGGAGTTCCGGAGGCTCCTGTGGCTGCAAGAGCAGTTTGCCAAGAACGACCAGAATCAGGGGCCGGGTGTGATTGACGAGGACAACATTTCGTCCTACGCTGCGAGGTAGACAAGCTTAAGCGATGGTATTTCCAAGGGCTCACTTTTGTTTTCTTTGCAGTGTCAAGGCGTTGCGACGAGAACGAGAGATGCTCGCGAAGCGGATGCGGCGGATGCCACCCGAGATGAAGGACGAGCTGCTGGTGAAATGGGAGATACCCCTCGAGTCCAAGCAGCGCAAGCTCCAGCTGATCGAGAAGTTATGGACGGATGCTCGCGACATGCAGCACATCCAGGACAGCGCCGAGGTGGTGGCCATGATCGTGGGATTTTGGGAGCCAGGCAGCGCCTCCAAGGAGATGTTTGCCTTGAACTTCGCTCCGCCCTCCAGCCAAAAGCCGTTCCACTTCGGCTGGAATTCGATCTCCACAA